AATTTAAAACAAATACTTACTGAATACAATTATATGCTAGGAACTATCTTAGGTGCTAAGGTTATAGAGGTAAACAAGAAAGTCAAGAACCCCACTTGCATGAAACCAATCAAATAGTAGATAATAATAAGTATGATGAATAATACAGTAGGATAATGTGAAAAAGAATAATGCACGAGTATAAGGCTGTACTTCAGATAGGGTGGTACACAGAGGCCTCAATGAGGAGGGAATGTATGAGCTGGGATCTGAATGATGAGAACGAACAGGCTATGGGAGGAAGATCTTGGAGGAAGAATATTCCAGGCAGGGAGATCAGCAAGTACAAAGGGCCTGGAGAGAGAAAGAGCCAGGCTTTGGGAGGAAGAGACAGCAGGTATAGCTGAAGCAAAGTGAGTTGAGGTGAAGGGTTGGCAGGGACCTTGTGTGCCATGATAGGGAGTCTTGGTAATATTCCACGTACAAGGCATTGCCCCACCTTTCTGTGATATCATTGGAAGTTCATTGTCATACAGGCAGGAGCACATGTGTGGTAGTTATGTTTGTATGTCAACTTGGCTGGGCCTGGTTGAGTGGCTGGGCAGCTGGTGGTAGTTATTCCCCCTGATGGGACTGGAAATCAGCTCCATGGTGGGATCTACCACAAGCAGCTGAGTAGCTGCCTTTGGGAATGTGGTCTGCTTCCTATATTTAAGGAGAAGCCTTGGTAATGGTCTCTAGCCTATGGCGCGCTTGGACCCTGCATGTAGCCATGTCATTGCTCAGCAGCCTGCTATGCTCTGCCGACTTTGGGACTTAAAATGAACTTAAGTCAATGGCCTGCCGTGTGGTAACATTGGGACTATGCCTTTTTACTTGTCAACCTTGGGGTTTCTCAGCCTCAGCAGCCAGCAGCTGTCTGAGTGAAGAAACGCCTCTAGTTCCAGTGAGCCGGGAGCAGGAAACAGAGCTGGTTGAGGGGCTTTTACTCAGCCCCTAGAGCCTGGCGCTTTGCACTTGGACTTAAAGCCTCCAAATTGTAAGAATAAACTTCTGTTTATTGAGGTCATCCCATTTGTGGCATATTCCTGTCAGAGTGGCAGTGTCTGTGTGGCCTTACAAGGGAAGTATTGGTAAAGCAAGCTGCTGGATTCAGGTCCATTCCAAGGAACAGCATTCTTTCTAGAGCAGCCTCTGCCCTCTAGGCTACCTCAGGAGACTCTGCCCCTTCATCTGTCCTGATCTTCAGGTTTGTGGTTTTAAACAGTATCGAAGGTGTAAGCAGAGAAGAATTTCGAGAGAAAGTAAGTATTGGAGGCCGAAAAAAGTCTAGATAGAAGAGTTAAGTACCTAAGTGTCTTTACCATGATATCCTCTTTCACCAGCCTTCAAGAGAAGAGGCAATAATGTAAAGTGATAGAGGGGCCTTTGTGCCAACTAGAAGATACTGGGGCTTCAGTGGCCATATTTCTTTTCAAAACTTCTTCCATCACGTTAAAAATTAGAATAATTTTCTGTGTGTTATAAAATGGGCATAATACTATGATTCCCAAGTTGCAGAAAGGTGAGTCTTAACTGACTTATTACGGACTTCATAAAGTTTGGTGTGCAAGTTAGTATGTGCTACAACCTCAGCAGAGCATTGGTAGTGCAGTGGTTAAGCTCTTGGCTGCTAACTCAAAGGCTGGTGGATCAAACACATCAGCCACTCAATGGGAGAAAGATGTGGCAGTCTGCTTCCATAAACATTTACAGCCATGGAAACCCTATGGGACAGTTCTACTCTGTTCATAGCATCACTTTGGGTTGGAATTGTCTCAATAGCAACAGGTTGGGACAGGTGCTAAATATTTTTACCTGCATAATCACAATAAAAGGAACTCTGGTGGTATAGTGCCTAAGGCATTTGCCTGCTAACCAGAAGGTTGGTGGTTCAAATTCATCGGCTGCTCCACAAAAGGAAGGTGGGGCAATGTACGTCCATAAAGGTTTATTGCCTGGGAAACCCAATAGGGATTGCTGTGAGTTGGGATCCACTCAATGGCAGTGAGTTTGTTTTTCTTGGTTTAATCACAGTGAATTTCCTAAACTATCCTAGAAGATAGCTACTGTTACTCTATTTTTTACATGGGGCTCAGAGAGGGGAAGAAACTTGTTCAGAATCACAATAATTAGAATAGGAGCTCTGGTGGTGTAGTGCCTAAGGTATTTGACTGCTACCAGAAGGCCGGTGGTTCAAACCTACCAGCCACTCCCCAGAAAGAAGATTGGACAACATACTTCCATAGAAATACCGCCTCGAAAACCCAAGGAGGGGGTCACTACTAGTCAGGAATGACTCGACTGCAGTGAGTTTGGTTTTTGAGTTTGGGACTTTAAACTTAGGTTTGACCCATGCATTTACCACTGTCAGCTACTAACTTTGGTTAAAAGGTCTATGGATATTAATTAAGTCTATATAAACATAATTTTACTAGCTATATTTTTCTAGCCAAAATTATAGGAAGCAACTCCATGGCAGTTGTTTGTTGTGGTATATTGATGCAGCACTATATCATGTTTTTGTAATTTTACAGAAATATACTAAAATAGTCATCTTTATTATCCCCATCTTTCAGAAGGGGAAACTGAAGATCAAATATTTAAGTACTTTGTACAAAATCAGAGTTAGAAAATGAAAGATCCAAGACTTGTACCCTTGTTTGTCTTACTCTAAAACCCATATTCTTTGCTCTCAGCTGCCATTTTGCTGTGCTAGTTCTGTCACTCATTGGCTTATAGAGACTGTACTTGGTAATTTCCAAGGACTATCCCAGCTGTGATAACCTATGACCTAATGCCTTAAAGATTTATTTATTTGTCTATTCATTTAAAATGAAAGATACCAGGTATCATAACTTCTTGGTTCAAAAATAATGACAGCCAGAAAGCCAGAATCTTTCTGGTAAAAGGACCGTTATGCTCCTATGTGGGTGAAAATTCTCTAGTTAAAATAACTCAATTTTTTTTTCAAAGCACTCAAGAGAGAACTCATACCATACACAGAAGCCTAAAAATGTGTCTCTAGCTCATTTCATGATATCAGTTTTGAGTTTCACTGCAATTAAGACAGTACATTAGCATTACCCTTTCTCTTCTTTCCCAGTTGAAATAACAAGCAATAGGAGCTTGGTACTCCTGGCACACAGAGAAATTCAGGGCTGCTTTCATTGATTGGTGATAGAAGGCCTGTGTTTATGATGCCATGAACCAAGCTGGCATCAAGCCCCATAACCATAGATGCTGCACATTCTTGGCTGCTATGTGACACTGCCACCAGACCCAGGACAGAACCCTGGGGATGCTCCTGCTACACACATGTTCCCTGAGTAAGCACCATAAGAATTTCAGCAACAAGGTGCCCTACCAGCCTGTTCAGAGGCAGATGAGGGTGAGAGGTAGAACAGGTATCATGTCACCCAAAGTAGTGCAAGAAATTAATTAATATAGCCCTTCTCTGGCCATGGTCTTTGTGACTCCCATCAGATGGCTGGGTGAAATTATGTAAATGTGAGGTGCTTGTGGCCCATCAAAGGAATTGGATAGCTTGCTAATAATTCATATAAGGTATGTGGAATCTTTGTTGGGGTGAGACCACACAAATGAAGTGTATGGAACCCTAAAGTGGAGATTGGTCAGTTTAGCCATCTTGCTAGGCTTAAAGTGAGTCACTCAGAGGTGGAGGAGGGAGGAGGTCTCACTATCATCAAGAAAGAAGAGCCAGCACTAAGGTCAATTGACATAACTAGTCCACAAAGACAATGTTCTACATTCTACTTTGGTGACTAGTGACTGGTCTTAAGAGCTTATGAGTGGCCATCTGAGGTGCAACTATGTCCAAAGCAAACAATAATGAAGAAAATTAAAGATTCAGGAAATAATTAGTTCAAAGGACTAATGGAGGACATGAAAACCACCTTCATGACCCTAAGACCAGAAGAACTAGATGGTGCAGGCTACCACTGCTGACTGCTCTGAAAGGGATCACAATAAAAGTTCCTGGATACAGTGGGGTAAAACGTGGAACAAAACTCAAATTCATAGAAAAAAAAAGGACCAGGCTTACTGGTCTGATGAAGACTGGTGGAACCCTCAAGACTATGGCTCGTAGGCATGATTCAAGCTAGGAACTGAACTGAACCCATGTGACCCAACTGGAAGCCAAATGATAGACAGACCCATAAGGTGAACAGTAACATCAGGAGGATATGCACTCATTACAACATTTAAGCATATTAAATCAAGAAGTCCACATTTGCCCAGGGATAGAGCTGGGGAGGTGGGAGGAGATGGGAAGGAAGAATGAAGGAAAGGAGTGAGCCTAGGGAGGAAGTGGGAAGAATGCTGTTACAGTGTGAGGATTGCAGTAAATGCCACACAACAGAATGTGTATGGATT